AACCCCCCCCCCCCCCCCCCCCCCCCCCCGCGTGCCGAGATGTTGAGTGCAGCCCTCCGTTGCCTTGGCGTCGATCTTGACAGCAACCATCCATGCCGAGGGAGAAATACACTGGGGGGCCCTCAGTAGTGCCGGTATATGGACCAGACCAGTATACCGGCACTATTTAAAAGTACTGAATGACTTGGTGATTCAGTCTGTGCCCGCCTAAAGCACCGGTACTACACCGGGCGTCGGCTCCATTCAACCAGCACTACTGAGGGCCCTTGTGTACCCCCCTCCCCGCTACTCCGCCTATTTTCTTTCCCCCTGTCCTCTTGAGTACCCCTTCCCCTCCCCCGGTCCCTTCTCGCCCCCTCCAGCCCCGCCTCTCCCCGCGTACCTTGGTGTACATCTCCACGGCGAGCTGAGGGGCATCCGCGTCGACGTAGAACCTCTCCGCTAGCGCGTGGTTGCCCGCCTGCTCGTGGTGGCGGGCCAGGGTGCGCAGGTGGGGCCTCGCGGAGTCCCCGTCGAGGGTTTCCAGGAGCTGCGCGGCCTTGGACCATTGCCTGCTGGTCAGGCAGGCGCCGACCGCCTTGGCGTTGGCGCGCCCCTCGATGTAGTGGTTGATGGCCATGTCGACCTGTTCCGAGACGTTTTTCCCGATGGCGTTGGTCTTTTTTTATAAGTACCTTTCATACGTTTTGGCTTGACTTTTGGTGGGTTTGCACGGGTAGGTGGGATATTGCCCACCGTACAACCGATTCACGATTATTGGCAGCCGGGGTGTGAGGCAAGAACCCGCGATTTTCGGCCGCAGGAGTTGGTTCTGTTCCGGGTGTTTGATGTATGTACATAAGTGAGGAGGAGGTGATGAGCAGGCCGAGCTCAAGCTTGCCTTGACCAGACAAATGTAGTGGGTGCCCATACCTCCTGGCCCACGTGCACACCTACCTTAGCATCCAAAGACCCTCCAAAACATTTCGAAGGTACGCAACTGACCTGTTTCTGGGTCATGAGGTAGTCCCCCCACATCTCCTGAAGATCTACCACTTCTGCGGGGAACGAGCGACGCGCCAATTCCACGGCCTGGCGGAAGGCGTTTCCCCTCGTATAGCTGTCAAAAGAACAAGAACAGAAACAGTGAGCAGCAAGTATAAACCAGGCCAAACATGTGTGTGTGTCTAAGCATCGACCGCGCTACGCGGGTGACCAACGAAAACACGTCAGTCTCAGAGCGACTGTGTGTGTGTGTGTGTGTGAATCTGTTGGTACGTACCTGACCACGGCTCGGTGGGAGCTTTTTTTTTTTACCCTGGTGTATCCGTCGCAGCAAAGGCAGCTACGATAAAGACAGCAAAAAACGCCGACAACGACAGCCTCATCTTCGCTCAAAAGTACCGGTCAGATCCAAATCGGTGGAAGAAGAACAAGAAGAAGGCGAGAGTAAGTACCCTCGTCTCTCTCTCATCCCTGCCATCGCATCACCACCTACGAGCATACCTGTCCATCGCCCGCTGCAGCTGGTTCATCTCCTCGTAGAACTCCCCAGCCTTGTCGTGCATCCCGGCCGCCGAGAGCGTAGACGCCACGGTCTCCAGCAGCTGCCCCTGGTTCTCCACCGACCTCTCCTTGAGCACCCGCCCGGCCTGCGCCGGCAGCCCCCCCTTGAGGTACAGCCGGATGGCCTGCTCGTAGTCTCCCTTTGTTCGCGCGCGGCAAACGAAGACCGGGTAGAGGAAGATATCAGTTAGCGATGGTAGTCAACAGGGTTTGGCGGGTAGGACTCCTCGAAGAGAACAATCGGCCTACATTGTACTTGCTCGAAGTTCTCTTCGAGTCTTGTTTTCCCACGCGAGGGGATCAAACGGGGGTTAGGGAGGAGGGAGACTGTAGCGGAGTATAAAAGCGGACGGAATCAACGTCCAACCGTTAGACACGGGTTTTGATGATGCGCTAGGGTGTTGACGAGCATGCACATGCACCGCCAAGACTGACGCGCAAAAACGTCGTTCCATTGGTCCCCCCCGTTTTGCGCCGTCGATGCCATTCAAAGGTCACAACACCCCCACACACACACACACTCACGGGGTGTCCCAGATAATGGCATTTAGAATGTGTTTTGTGTTTCCAACCGCACTGAGACTGGTGTATTTCATTGGTCAGCCGGTTGCGCGGTCGATGCTAACAATAAAGACACACACCTCTTTCTCCTTCAGAGCGGCGGCGCGTTCCTCCTGCTTGGTGTCGACGAGGAGCCGGAAGTAGTCCTGGGCCATGCCCTCGAGCCGCTCCTCGGGCAGACGGTGCGCTCGGCCGAGGGTGAGGGCCTCCTCGTACTGGTGCAGGCCGTGGCGCATGGCGATGGCCTCTTCCACCTTGCCCTGGGACACCAGCACGTCCTCCGCTCCTCGCAGGTCCTGTACACCACACGTTTTTTTGCGGTACGAGGGCGATGTCGTGCGCAAGGTATCTGTCATGTGGTGTGGTGGCCTACCTTTCCTTCCTTGGGAAAAACGGCGGCGGCAAACGGCGCATGGAAATCGTGCATTTGGCAATACGACGGTATCTACGATGTTGCGAAGAGCATGAGGTGTGAAACCATGAGTAAACTAACGGGCGGCCGCATGGCCTTGCTGTATGCTTAATGGATGGAAGAGGATGACATTGCGAGAGAGAGGGGGGGGGGGGGG